GGGCGATCACTCTTTCCTGTCATCAACTCCCATGTTCCTCATCTCACCTCCCATCTCCTGGATGGCTGGGTGTCATCCAGTTTACCTTCATGTCCTCACAGAGTATAGCATCATCTCCTGCACCTGGCTGTTGCTCAGTCAATCAACATGTCAATGCAGTATTTAAAAATATGAGCTCACTATTATGTCCGATTATAATGCACCAAAAATAATTTTTAAATACAATCAGAAAACTGAAAAGTGATGAGAATATCTCATGCATCTTTATCCTCCCTCCTCCTCCCCCTGGTCCACCCTCTTAGGAGATGTTTGTTGCCTAACTGCTGTGTGGCAGGCATTCTGAAAATGCCTACTGACTCTAAAATCATATTTCCAGATGTAAAAGTATATTTTTTATCATCCTCAAAGTACCTGAAGCTTTTAGATGCAAAATGAGTCCTTCCAAAACCACCATTAACATTATGATATTACCTCTAACTGTCAAGATTTACTTTGCTGAGAAATGTTTACTTCATAAACAAGAATCCAGAACTAATGTTTCATCTAGGGGTTGTTGGGGACTCCACAGGTATCTCCCCTTTTGTCTTCTCATCCTTCCAATCCCAGCCCTTCCTAACAATCCATCAAGTGCCAAGCCCCGTGGGGATGCCAAGTGGAAAATGAGGACAGTTCCCAGCACAGCAGGAGGGACAAAACGAAGATTGAAATTTCCAACAACTCCAGGGCTCTGGAAACTAAAATCCAAGAAGTAAACAGAAAAGTTCTTGAGGGACTTGGATTTGAGCTGAGTCTACTCTCCATGAAAACTCAAGCAACTATACTGCCTGTGATTCCCTTTGCACAAAGGATGGCAAGAAGAAGTGTCAGGGATGAGAAAGAGAAGCCAACAGTGGTGAACTGTCTTCATTCTACTCCCAGATGGCAGCCACTCCCACCCCATCCCCTCCTTCTTCTCCCATGGGTCCAATCACTGCCACAAACCCAAAAGGAAAGAGGACATTTCCTTTATGAAATTGGAAAAAGCATTAAGGACACAGAACAGAAAAAACAAAAAAGTATATTAGGAAATAAGATGCCAATATGTTGAACAGCCATTTAAAAAAATGTTTAATAGAATCCCCTTCCTAGTGGACTACGAAGTCCTATTCTCCATCACTGCTCTACTGGTGAGGTCCAATTCAATTTTGCTGAGCTAGGAAGTCCCACATAACCGGAGCATTCATCAATTCTTGCCTGTTGAACAACCTCTCTGTTCTTTAAAAGGTATGACTGTGGGGGCTGGGCGTATAGCTCAGTCAGTAAATTGTTTGTCTCATATGCATAGGGCCCTAAATTCAATCCCCAGCACCACCTAAAAAAAAAAAAAAAAAAAAAGGTATGGCTGTTTGAGTCTACCAAAAACTATTACAGGTTATCTGTTTGGAATACCTATAAAATGGTCTTATTATAATTTGACAGTTTTCACCAAATGTTCTGGTAATTTAAAACTATTAGTGCCCAAGCTCAGGCCAGGATAGAGAACTTGTTATTTGATAATAATAAAATACCCCTGTGTTGGTCTTGGCTTGGAGCAGTGGCAAAAGTTAGGAAAACTGATGAGAGGAGGTTGGGCTGTCTCCGAAGACCTACCAAGGAAGTGAACATCTTAATGCAGTATGATTCATAAAAGAAAAGGCAACTTTTAGTCCCAGAAGGGTAAGTCCTTCCTTGAAGGCAGCATAAAAGCTGAACAAATTTTAAAAACACTCTTTACCAAATTAAACAATTATACTTAATTCCTTTTCCTCCAAATGTTTACTAGAAAACTCACAATTCTATCCTACAAAATTGCCATGTAAATATCATAACAAACAGACAGCTTCTGTCTACTAAAATTTTTACACTTTTTTTCCCTCCCTAAAACATGATTCCATCACATCTGTTCAGCAGCCACCTTTAGAAGCAAAAGCTACCAATAAAATACAAACATGATCTTCTTTAAGAAACTGCAGGGAAACTCGAAAGCCAGCCACAGAATAGCAGAGTTCTCTAAGAAACTTCCCACATTTCCACTGGAAAAAAAATCTAACAGAAACCATTTGGCCAGGACTCAAAACCCAGTTAGGAGGGGAATCTGCCTCTACCAACTTTCAATTATCAGACACTGCACGAATGTGGCTGTGTGCCCCGCACCGTGCTGAGCTCATGGGGCTAGGATCACAGACTGATGACCTGCCAATGGGGTATGTTTGGTCTATGTGATTTTTTTTTTCCCCAGCAATGCTTAAAAGTCAGGAAATCTCACATCAACATCCAGATGTGTCATATTTCTTAAAACTTGAAAGATCCATCAACATGGGCTCAGCATTCCTTCACTGGTGACTTTCACAGCTGCAGCAGAGAAGCTACTGATCCTGACAGCAAAGGACATACTCTCCAACTTGCCACAGTCCCCACCATAATCTACTGTCCCCTCAATGACACACTCAGAGTTTCATTTACTTATTTAGTACTAGAGATTGAATCCAGGGGTGCTTAACCACTGAGTCACACGCCCAGCTCTAATTCCCCCACTTTTTTGTTTTTTAAGAGAGGGCCTAAATTGCTGAGGCTGATCTCAAATTTGCTATCCTCCTGCCTCAGCTTCCCAAGTCACTAGGATTATAGGAGTGCTCCAACACACCCGGCTTGCTTTACTCATTTATGCTCCCTGTCTGGCCCCAGAAGCACTTGAATTTGTCACTCCAAAGAGAACAGATAAAAGTATCCCTATGCTTAAGAAGTAAGAAGTTCAGACTAAGGGAAAAGGCAGGCAAGAGGATACATTACAACAGGGTAGGATACAAACCCTGAATGGCCAGGGTTCAAAAGAAACCCCAAGGAAGGTGCAACCAACTGCGCTGAAGGGAGAGGATGAATCAAGGCATGCTCATGGGGAGAGGACATCTGGGGAGGGTTTTGCAGGATGAGAACAGGTTTGTCAGGTGGAAAAGTGGAGATGTGCAAAGCGGTAAAAGTACAAAAGGAACACGGAGTCTTCTAGTGATGGGATTAGGAAGAAAGGGACTTCTATTATCTACCCAGCTAACATTTTGAGCTTAAGTCTGGGACAATGGGAAGCAAGCAAGTTACCAAAGCAAGGGCTGACAGGATCAGGTTGTCTCTGATGCTGGCAGCAGTGCAGAAAAAAGACCTGGGGCAAAGAGACTTTGAGGGCACTCTTTGGGTACTAAGAGTTAGCTTCTAATGCTTAGAAACTCTGCATTCTCTGCCAACGACACACCTTTAAGCTAACTCACCTGTTATTTCTTTCACAGACAGATATGTGTCAATACAGTCACCTCTCTTGAATTGGAATAATAAAAATACTTTGAGATAACACACAATGCAGACCTCTGAAAGGTCAAAATGAAGAGCCCAAGTCTCTACCAGTGATCCCAATTCCATACAATAAACGTGTCCTCCTTCACCTGCCATGTCTCCTTGCCCACTCACATGCCTATGAGAGAAGACCTAGCAGCTTCCAAAAAAAAAAAAAAAAATCCTTTCTACATGTGCCACAAGTTTGACTTTCGTCCCAATCAAATGGCTACACACACATTCCCACACACTGTTCTCAACAACCTTTAAATGAGCCACATAGAATATAACATGTTAATTCATCTTTGATACAGGATCAAAGGGTGATAAAGAAACAATGTGCCCCAAGGAGAATCATCTTACTCGGGAGCCTATGGGCGTATCCCTGAAAAAGGTCAACAGTAAGGACACCAGGCTATTGCCACATGTCCTCCCCAAAGCAATGACACTGAAATCCGTTTTGCTTCTTTTCCCCTCAAATCAAATCTCAAAAAAAAAAAAAAAAAAAAACCTAAGATAAGCAAATCAACAAGGGGCTTTTTAAAAACTATCTCAAAGTTATAATAACCCCAAACAGACTATTTCCCAGACTTTTTATTGTTATAACAAACAAAACCATCTTTCACTTCTTGTCATTTGCAATTACCATGACATAATTGAAAATCAGTGAATCACCATGGGGCTGGGGAGAGAGGGCCTCCTAACTCTGAGCTGTCACTGTAATCTTCACAGGATAAACAACACCAAGAGTTCTTTCTTCAGCGTCTTTAACTTATATGTTAGAAAGACTCAAAATTTCATATTCTGTAATTCCCCTCTTTCCCTAAAGATGGCATGATATTTCAAAGAGTTTTCCCCCTTGAAAATGCTGTTTTTCTCTTCAACAGCCAATATGAATCCTGCACCAACAGACTTTGACATAATTTAGAATCTATTTGTAGGAGCCAAAAATTCAATTAAGAGAAAAATTATCTTGGAAGGGCTTGGACATTTCAGCCAATTAACCCTCCTGTAACTTTTCTGAAGGGAAAAAAAAAAAAAAAACCCTGAATGGTTTAACAAAAGACAGAACAAAGTCCAAAGGAACAGGATAAGGCAGGGGCAAAAGATTCCAGATGGTATTATTTAGATGTGAGGTGTCCTCCAAAGGTTCCCATGTTGATACAGGAATATTCATATGTGAAATGACTGGATTATGAGAGCTGTGATGTCAGCAGTCCTTCCCAGTTTGAATGGAGTAACTGGGTGGTAAATGGGACCTGGCTAGAGTAGGTGGCTCACTGGGGGTGTGTGCCCTGGAAAGGTGCATCTCCCCTGTATCCCCTTCCCCTCTCTCTGCTTCCTGGTCAGCCATGAAGGGAACAGTCCTCCTTCACTCTGCCCTTTCCCCATGATGTGCTGCCTCATCCTGGCCCAGCAATAGAATCAGCTGACCATAGATTAGACCTCCAGAATTAGGAGTCAAAATAACGTTTTCCTCCTTGAAGATGTTCTCGTTGGGTATTTTGATCACAGTGACACTAAGCTGACAAATGTACCAGAAATCTGGAAATTGTTTCCTTTCTGCTCCTTAGCAAAGTCACACAGTCATCTGTCTCCATGCCAGACTCTGTGACCCCATCCCATCCCCTATAGTCCACAGGTGAGTGCGGCCGACTCACCTTTGTGGCCTCCTCCACGCTCTCCCTCAGGGCCTGCAGCTCGGCATCATATTGTTCCTTCAGCTTGTCCATCTCCTGGTCGTGGCTGGAAACCTCTTCTTTCAGAGCACCCTTGAGGGCCGTGAGTTCACGCTCCCGCTTTCTCAAGAGGTCTTCCTGCTCCTCCTTGGCGATCAGCAGATCTTGAAGATCCTGTTTTGCCTGGAGGAGCTCCTAAAGGGAGGATATGGGAAGAAGGGAGGTGAAGAGCAGACATCTTTGTGGAGTGGACCAGTATGTCTCCTCCAGGCAGCCACCAGGTATACGGCCACCTCACCTGTCCTGTTTGCTCCCTCCTTCCTCATACTGTACACCTGTGGAGACTACTTCTGTCTCTTCCTCTGTACCTCAGAGGCCATCATTCCCTTTGATTCCTCTGGCCTAACTCTTTGAGATTTAATATGAGGGGAAAAAAGTTAATGTCACTGCTTTGAGGGGACATGTCTGGTTGTGCCTCTCATTTCACTTCTGCAGGATGGCCTGCTGTCCTTGTTGTGGCCCTTCATGCGCTTGCTGCAGAGGGCCAGGCTGACCTGCTGGCCTCATCTGCTTCGTACCTGCTGAGCCCTGAGAGTGGCCAAACCCTTCATCTACATGCCTAGAATTTGGGATGAATTCATCCTAGAATTTGTCATTTCTTTTGCCCATCTGAGTGGAGCACAACTTTCACATTTTCTCCTGCTACATTGCTACAGTTCACAAAGAAAGTCACAAAACTGGGGCATCAAGTTCCACTATGAAGCACATCACCCAGGCCCAAGTGTGGCCTGAAAAGGATCAGCCTTCCTTTTACTTCAATGACTTTGTCCTGGACTCCTTGGTGTTCCTCCAGCTCAGGGCTGGCCCTTATGGAACATGAAAATGCTCAGCTTCCCCCCATCTCAACTCTTCTCTGCATGCCAGGCATCTCCCCACCCAAAGCCACTTCCTGGAGAAGCATCTGTTCCCTACCAGCCTACTCCAAGTCTCTACTCCATCTGTTATCTTTTCTTTCTGCCATTTTGTTCTTTTCTATTTACTTGAATCTTGGCTAGCCACAAAACTTTACTACCAAACTTTTTGAAAGCATAATTTCTGCTCAGTGCCTCGACTTCACGACCACTCATTTGTTTCCTGATCTCCTGCTGTATGGCTTTTGTCCCTCTTTTACTAAGACAGCCACCTCCAAGGTCATCATGACCCACGAATCACTACATCCAGTGGCCTTTCCTCTTTTTAACCTCTCTGCCATCTCTGTAAGAGTCTCCTCTTTCTACACCCTCCTGGATCCTTTCCCAAGGCCACTTTTTCTGTGAAGATCTTTTCTGGCTTTTGTCTCCCTCTTTCCAAAAGCTAAGATGATCCCCAGAAATGCAACTCTGCATTCTTTACTCTCCTCCTTTAACAAGTTCATCATTTTTTTTCCCAACTATTAATTCTACAAAAATGACTCCAAATCTTTTACCTCCACTCCTCCTCTGAGTTCATTCCTACATTAACACATCCTCTAGAGGCACCCATCTGGAATACCCCCAGGAAACCCAGATTCAATAGGATTGCAGTTTTCAGTGAATCCATCGTGTTCCTTCCTTTCCACTTCTATTTTTCATCATTTTTGTGTATGGTACCCAGCTTAAGAACTAGACAACACCTTTAGCTTTTCTCTCATCCTTGTTCCTCATAACCAAAAAGTTAGTCCTGTAATATCTTAGATCCTCCCCTTTGCCTCCCCAAGTTAGGCCCTCATTATTTCTTGCACAGGGGCCTTCAATAGCCATGCATCTCTTCCCCCAAATCAGTCTCTCACCTGTTGTCTCTATAAGATCCACGTAGCATCCTCTGGAGCTACCTTCTTCCCTCTCAGTTCTGTCTTCCTCTGCCCTTAGGAAAGTCTTTGAAGGCTCAGATGTCACACGACTGCCTTCAAGAGTTCTTGTTTGCACACCTCTCCTGAACACCCATCTCACTCCCACTCTCCCTCTGATAGCACTCGACTCTTGTCACCTTGCATTCTACCTATTGTGATCATTTCTCTTATGTCCCCTGGTACATTGCTGGCTTCTTGAAAGGATATGAATCTGATTCCTTATAATTTTGATGCAAGGATCAAGGTTATTAGGAGCATCTGTCTATTCTGGGTATAAACAAATTAACACCCGCAGTACAGCAGGAGTCTGGAGATGCCAGAATTATAAACAAGTTTATTCTTTCATTTGTGGTTTCTGAATAAGAATATATCCTATTCCCTTAGAGCTCCTGGGACTCAGAGCATCGGCTGCCACCTGGGGACCCAAGGCCTCTGGGATAATTAGCTCAGGAAGCATGCTGCTGCTAAGGGGATAAAATCATTTAAATCAATTTAACTACAACTGACAACAAAATCTCTTTCCTTTTCTCTAGGTCATACATATCCACAGAACTAGAGCAATCCCAAGATGGAGTGAATTGTGTAAACCAAGACTTAGCCCCGCAGGAATCTAACCAGCCACCATTGATAAACTCAGATGCAAAGTCAATAAACTCTTCCAGGTGTAGAAGGCAGCTCTGGCTCTTCAAAAGCACCAAACACAGAGCTTTCATGAAAATTTATCCTGTCCTTGATGATGTCTCTTTGATAGTTGTCAAAGAGACACCTGACTCTCCCTGCCCTGCCCCTCCATAACAGGGACCCTCCCTGCAGTTGCTGCTACTACTGGTTACCCTGTAAGGGCTTCCTGGAGCCTCCTGCCGGAGTCTTCAGAGCAGCCCTTGTGATTCTGAACCACATTTCCTGCTTTTACTCTCACACATTTCTCCATTGTTTTGATGATAAGGCAGTTCCTCTTCCCACACTTATCGTTTCCAGGATATATCTGTTTCTCGTTGCCTTTTGTTTACTGCCGCCAATGCATGTCAAGAACTGAGGTTTTTATGTCCATTCTACACCGACTTGCTGTTATCTGTGGCTGGGGCTGTTGCTTAAGTGGACTGTGCTGCAAAGATCCAATCAGATTACACCTTGCCATATCACATAGTGGCACTTGAGGTTTTCCAGAGTAGAGACCAAAAGAACATGAAGTTTCAAAAACTTCACTCTATTACCCCAGGGGTTAGTTGTATCAAGGAGAAAAAAAAATGCATAAACTTTAAGACACAAGTGAACATCCATTAGAGATGAACAAGCCTCTCTGTAGACTCTAATCAAAAAACGAAGGAAAATTTTGGCTATTTAGAATCAGTGCTTTTTAAAACTTTATGCATTAAGACTAGTTCCATATGTGACAAGTAGCCTGCAGATTAAAACCCAGTGTGTACAGTGTGTACATATGTGCTTGAGGGAGGAAGGAGGACCTAAAAAAGTGGACTGCATTTTGTACTTATTGCATACAAGAACTGTGCTGGGGGCTGGGGCTGTAGCTCAGTGGTAGAGCACTTGCCTAGCATGAGTGAAGCACTGGGTTCAAATCCTCAGCACCACATAAAAATAAATAAAATAAAAGTATTGTGTCTATCTACAACAAAAAATATTTAGGAAAAAAAAAAAGAAAAGAAAGAACTGTGCTAGGCACTTCCAAAAATTAAAAGAGGAGTATTCAAGAAATGAATATTATTCTCATTTATAAATTAAAAACAAATCGAGTTGGGCTGAGGCTCAGTGGCAGAGCACTTGCCTAGCATGTCTGAGGCACTGGGTTCAATCCTTAGCAACACATAAAAATGAAACAAATAAAATAAAGGCATGCTGTCCATTTACAACTACAAAAAAAAATTTTTTTTTTTAAATCAAACTGGAGTTCTGAGGTGCTAACATGCTTAGGATGGCACAGTTTGTAAGCAGCAGAGCCTAGACTGTGACCCGGATTGAATTCCAACATCCTTTCTCTTTACCACTCAGTGACCACAGACCTGACCACAAACCACACGCTCAGGAAGGTCAAGGATCCAACAATGGCACAATGAATCTCCCTGTGAAGGGCAGACAAAACAGAGCTCTGTTTGGCCAGTAAGGAGGTCTACCTTTCAAACCAAAACAAAGAAACATGACCAGAGCCTGAAAGACAAGGAAGGAAGGAAAGCTGGGCGGAAAAGGAAGCATGGCCTGGCACAAGTCACCAGCCCAACAGCAAACTACTGAGAGGTGCCAAAATGTCCAGGCAGCAACTTTTTTACCCACAGAAAGCTTTATATCACTTGCCACCTATACATACACACACACACACACACACACACACACAATAAATAAATAAATAAGGAAAACACTGGTCTAGATTCTCTTCTGCACAAATGCTTCCCAGAAGTTAGATCAGGGCCCTATCTCTGGCCAATGGTCATTGCAGGGGTAAATAAGAGGTTTCATATCACAATGGTAGATGACAGAAAAATCCTCAGAACTTTTGCTCCGGAAGGATGATCTAGAAAGTACAACATAGCTGGTGAGAACCATCATAAGTTTTAGTTTTTTTTAATTAAGACTTACAGAATGTACAGTAATATGTCACAGCAAAAGAAGTTATAGCTATTTTAGAGAACTCATTTCTTTTTGGTGTTGTTGTTTTAGAGTTTTGTTTGTTTGGGTACTAGGGATTGAACTCAGAGGCACTAAACCGCTGCATCCAGTCTTTTTAAGACAATCTCGCTAAGTTGCTGAGGCTGCTTTCAAACTTGCAATCCTCAGCCTCCCAAGTCATTGTAATTACAGGCATGCACCATGGTGCCCAATTAGAGACCTCATTTCCGAGCACAAATATCCCAGATTGATACATTAACCAGAATATTTCAGAAATACTGAAGTACGTTGGCACATGCCAGGAATAAGACACCACAAGACTTATGAATTTAGGTGCATCTTTCAGAACTGCAGGCTCCATCAAAGAACAACCTCTCAACAGTGGAAAACACCACTGTTGTGGCACTGAGATGTTGCATGTTAACCTACTACCCCCAGGATGGAAGGCAAGGCATTCATAGACAAGGCAGTGTCCCAAAACTTGCTCTATGATCACTTTTATAACTTGAGTTTTAAATTTTCAGAATAATCAATTCAATTAAGAATAACTAATTTGGCTAAAAAACAAAAATTAAACCCTACTATTTCTTCCTTTAACCATTTCATTATTTCCTAAATTTTAAAATTCCTCCTTTTGCATATTCCTTATAGAGGCTTGGTGTTATTTAACAAAATGTGAAATATTAAAAAATACTTCTGTGCAAGGGGTAGGGGGAGTAGCTCAGTAGCAGAATACCCGTTCATCATACAGGAGGCCCTGGGTCCAATCCCCAGCATCAAAACAAAAAGAGATTTCATGAAAAAATCTGGCTTTCTTGCAGGCCTCACAAAGTACAGGACCTTCAACCTTTTTCAGACATGCAAAAGCTTAAGGGTTTAATGTTCATTGTGTTTAAGAGCCTGATCTAAGCCAAAAGCCATGGAAAACTTGGCTACAACTATAATCTGTTATTAGATTCCCTCAGGCTAGTTTTTATTAAGATATGAAGAATAAACTGAAAGAGACAAGGAGATAGAGTCTATTTTATTAATGTTGTAGAGACCATAGATCATGTTTTAAATGTTGCTGACATGTCAAGGGAAACCAATAAAAACTACAAGGATGAATTTGCAAAAGGAGGAAAAAACAAAACAAAACACTGTGTCCACCCCCTAACTTCTCCTGCAAAGAGGTGGCGGCAGATAAAACCATTCCTGTCCTGCAAAGGACTAAACAATCAGGGGACAGAAATTCCAGGAACATGTTTAAGAAAAGATGTGCTCAGTTTCCCATTCTCGTATTTCTCATTATCAGCCTAGACCTGAACACACAATACTGAGGCTCAGATTCTTTCCTAGGAAGTAATATAAATAAAACAACAAACTGTTTCAAAAACGAAATTATGCTCAGTTATTAAATACTCAGGATGTTGTGCTTTAAGAGTTAAAAGAAATATGGACCAGGGCTGTGGCTCAGTGGCAGAATACTTACCTTGCACATGTGAGGCACTGGATTTGATCCTTAGCACCACATAAAAATAAATAAACAAAATAAAGATATTTTGTCCATGTATAACTAAAAAACAAATATTTTAAAAAGAGTTAAAGAAGTAGGTGGTTCATTTTAGAAATCACTCCCTTTTAAAAGAGATTACTTTTAAAAGTAATTTCAATAGTGGAAATTATTTATTCATTTGCTATTTGGCACTGTGGTAGGCACCAAAGAGGGGAGAAGCAATGATGATAAATTGTTGAGTGAGCCAGCTAGAAGAGAGAGGTACAAATGTACATCTAGGTCATGTGAACAAAAAGAGAACATCTAAGAGGATGGAAAATATTATGGGAAAGAGCGACTAGCAATTACAGAATTCAATTGTTAGGGAAAAATCAGGAACTCTGGAGACTTCCTAGGAACTAAGATAACATCTTTTCCTTTTAGAACCAATGAAACATCCACACAAGGAATCCAAATATGATAGTCTTCTCTTTGAACTTGTTTGTGAAGCTATACTTTTACTGAAACCATAAACTCTTCAATGACATCATTTCTGGGAACTTATCTTTAGGAACTTTTTTTTTAAGTAGTAAAAGGGTACACGTAAAGAAGGGTCACCACAAAATTTTTTCAGAATTGCGAAAGAAAGAAAAATACATTAGAATGATTAAGCATATTATGGTCTATCTCCTTAAAATTTAAATATAAAAATTATAAAGTATAATAAGGAAAAGTATTTCTTATTTATTAACTTTTTTAAAAATATTTATTTCTTTTAGTTTTCGGCGGACACAACACCTTTGTTTGCATATGGTGCTGAGGATCGAACCCGGGCCGCACTCATGCCAGGTGAGCGCGCTAACGGCTTGAGCCACATCCCCAGCCCAACTTATTAACTTTTAAAAGCAGTTATCAAAACTGAAAAGGCACTATGATTATCCCTACATTATATACAGATGGGTGGATAAACCTACCAATGGATGAAAAGGCAAATGAAATGTAGAAATAAAACTAATTGCTTAGGTATTAGGGAAATGTGTATGTTACCCATTTTTAAATTTCATTTTATGTTACTTTAATATTTTAGTAATAAATACACATATTTTCAAAGCCCCATTGTAATACACTTTGTTCTCCTAATTCTGAGCCCCAAACTGATGGAGCCATGATGCAGTCTAGCATCATGAATGTGGTGGTATTTAAGGAATCATCTGATCAACAGAGGAACACCAGGTGCTAAGGAACAGGCTGAGGCCTTCTGTGGAGAAAAGGTCTAAACAGGGACCAAGAGACAGTTCTGTGGGAGTAGAGAAAATTATCCTTCTGTGCCCATGTGACAAGAGTTCAAAAGCCCCACTACTGTGTGACCACAGCACTCTCCCCTCAGTGCCTGCCAGGCCAGGGAGAGGGGCTCAGCTCTTCGGAGGAGGAACCATTAAATCTAAACAAGGAAGGGGAGAGAAAGCAGTTGACAATGGAGACTTCAAGGAACTCCAGGAACTTAAGAGCCAGAAGCTTTTTAGTCCCAAGAAAGGGTAAAAGAAAACGCCTAAGCTCTAAGATGAAAAGCAGAGGAAAATTAAATAATGACAAGGTAACTTTTTTTTTTTTTAACTTTTTGGGTGGAGCGTTGATCTAAATGGTGTTTTACTTATTTATTTATTTGTTAGTTTTTTTATACAACCACACCTTATAAAAGAAATGTTTCAAAAATATGTCAAAATCCAGGTGATAATAATGTTATAGCAAATATGAAACACCAAAATGAGCAGAGAGAAAAGTTATTTTTCTCACCCTCAATTATATTTCCCCCCAAAATATAGACATTCAAAATCGACATTCTTGCATTCTAAGTATTTCTTACTTGTGTATCTTTCACCTCAGCCAGGCTGACAATAACTCAGAGAAGACATAACAAGGGTCTTTGGTAAACCCTATAATAATTAACAAATGTTAAGTAGGAAGCGTCAACCTTTATCCACTGGCTTACAGATAAATATAAGGAAAGTATTTAATAGATCTTATGAGAAAAAGCCAGATGGGCAGCCTGGGTATGTAGCAAATGGATTTGTTCATTCATTCACTCTCTCACTCATAGATCCATCTAATCATCCACCAAATATGTACCGACTGCTGTGCAGCCCAGTACTGTGGCTCTGTGCAGCCCAGAACTGTAGCAAATGCTACCGATGCAGTGCAGAGCTGACCCTTCCTTTATGGAGCTTATAGGCTGTGGGGCCTTAAGAAACAAACAGCGTTAAGTATTACCACAATCTTATTGCTCGTTTTTTCCATAAACAACATATTTACAAACTATCCTTGTCCAATGTCTTCCCTAAATCTATTAGTATTTAGATATAATTCCAATTTACTAGAAATATAGGGGATAGTGAAATAAGTTAACGGACACCATAAAGAGACGATCAGAACAATCCACAATGTGGGGCACTGCTCCAATTTTTTTTAGGTTAGTGGGATGGGAGACAGAGCAAGGAGATGGAGATGGGGGATAGGAGGAGTTAAGATAAAATGAAATTTGAGAGACACAATAATGGAAATACGTGATTTCTGACTAGAACCTAGCTCAGAGGAAGGAAAAAACTATAAAATATGCTTGGGGGAACATCTGGAAATTTTGAATAAGGACCAAGAATTGGAAATAGATAGATATTCATTATGGAAATCATTAATATTTTAAGTATAATAATGGTATTACAATTATGTAAAATAAATTCCCCAATTTTTCAAAGATGCATGCTGAAAAGTTTAGGAATGAGGTACGGTGTCTATACTTTGAAATGTTTCAATAAACAACAACAACAAAAAAAATTGATGAGTGTATGAACAGGTAAATTAATGGAGTAAGTAAGTAAGTAATATTGACAACTGTTGAACCAGCATTGGTGACTGATGGGTGGTAATGTGCTATTCTTTTCCAAGTTTTCCTAAGAATGTTTATAACTAACGACACATGGTGCTCTCCCAGAATCTGACCACAGCCACAGGTGAATGAACACAACAGAATGGCACCCAGCCCCCCCACCCCCTCCTCTGCAGCGGGTGAGGCCTTGTCACTGGCCACCACCCCTTACCTCTATCAGCGCCCCCTTCTCCCTGTCTTCAGACTGCTTAGCACTGTCCAGCTCATCATGCATTTCTGAGAGCTGGTCCTGGAGGTCCCTGATCTCCGTCTGGTGCTGTTCTCGTTCCATCTTCACCTGGAAGAGCCTGGCAGGGAGGAAGCCCATCAGAGAGTCTCCTGGGCTCCACAGTTCTTCATCCAATCTGACTTCAGACAGTCACAGAGTCATGTAAAGCCCCAAGGAGCCTCTCTGCAGTAAAGAACGGATCAGCAACCTAAAATGGCACCTGGTAAGAACCCAGGGCTACAGTCCAACTTGACCCAGATGTCAGGTGAGAGCTCAAACCAATAAAATGGGGGGGGGGGGTGCAGAATGTAGGGAAATTTTCTACCCAAATGGAGACTGTAGGCTACTAGAATTTGAGCATAGAAGATAAAGAAATGACAAAAGTCAACTTTGATATTTTTTTCAACAAAGTCATCCCACCCTCCCTTATCCCTGTTCTCTAGACCAGGGGAATCATCACATTATGGTCTATAGGCCAATCCAGCCCATGACTATTTCTGTGAAAGTGTTGCTGGAACACAACCTTGCTGGTCCACTTATGCATTGCTTGTGGCCATGGTCACAGAGTAATGATAAGAGTTGAGCAGTTATGACAAAGATGACGTGGCTCACAAACCCTAAAATAATCACTCTCTAACAAGGAAAAGTTTTCCAACCTCACAATGACCATACCTTTCAAGTTTCTAAGTTCTTTACTGTACCCTCAATGTTCTGATATTTTTCTTGCTAACTTATTTTCTGAAACTCATCTCTCTGAATATTTTTAAAGCAAATAACCCTACCATCAAAATTACTAGGGCAATCAAATGCTGTTATGACATAAAGTCCCACTTTTCCTGAATTCCCTCTGAATTTGATCCCAGCTTAACCTTTCACTGAGGGCTTCCGTCACAGCCACAGCTATACATAGCACTATACATTTTTTTAAATTTTTATTTTATTTTATTTATTTATTTTTGTTGAGAAATAAAGTTTTTATTATTAAACCACTGGGATTTAGAGGCTTATCTATTACAGCGGCTCACAATAGCCTTTTTTTATTATTATTAGTTGTTCAAAACATTACAAAGTTCTTGACATATCATATTTCCTACATTTGATTCAAGCGGATTATGAACTCCCATTTTTACCCTATATACATATTGCAGATTCATATCAGTTACACATCCACTTTTTTACCTACTGCCATACTAGTGTATGTTGTATTCTGCTGCCTTTCCTATCCTCTACTATCCCCCCTCCCCTCCCCTTCCCTCCCCTCCCCTCCCTTCCCATCTTCTCTCCCTACCCCATCTACTGTAATTCATTTCTCTCTCTTGTTTTTTTTTCCCCTTTCCCCTCACTTCCTCTTATATGTAATTTTGTATAACAATGAGGGTCTCCTTCCTTTACCATGCAATTTCCCTTCTCTCTCTCTTTCTCTCCCGCCTCTCGTCCCTGTTTAGTGGAAAAAAAAATGTGGCATTTATACACAATGGAGTATTACTTTGCACTAAAAAATGACAAAATCATGGAATTTGCAGGGAAATGAATGGCACTAGAGCAGATTATGCTAAGTGAAGCTAGCCAATCCCTTAAAAATAAATGCCAAATGTCTTCTTTGATATAAGGAGAGCAACTAAGAACAGAATAGAGAGGAAGAGCATGAGAAGAAGATCACTATACATTTTTAAATCTAGGTTTTAGATCATTTTGCCACAGACTTTAAAGTGATGCAATGGCAGGAAGGTCCACCGTGGACTTGAATTTCATCCTCAAAGACTGAGAAGGGGTGCAAGTACCCAGCACAGAGACCAACATAAACCAGAATAAAATTTGCAAACTGGGAGATTGTGGAGGCCATGTGACAAGTACTTTTTGGAAGCTGGGCCCAGGCTCACTGAAATCTGTCTTTAGCTATTACTACTCAGTGTCCCCCACTTCTCACCTGTCATGAGATCTACTTTAAAGGCTGAAACTGTACAAAACATACTTCAAGGTGTACAAAGAATCTTAATAATTATTAACCTTCCTGCTTACCAGTCTGCACATGTCATCAACTTCACGGTTTTACAAGGATTGCTGGGAGGAAAGGAAGGGTAGGCAGCCTCAGTAAGGCTGGGTGTAGTTAAGAGGTCAAAGGGGCTCGGGCTGCACACAATATAAAAACTCAGGAAGGATAGCAGGCTCTTGGCCCCAAACTCACTCCTCCAGGTTCTTCCGGAGCTCCCCTTCGCTTTCTTCCAGTCGCTGCTGCAATGTGGAGTTCTCTTCCACCTTACTGTCACATTGGCTTTGCAGCTTTTCCAAGTCTGCCCGCATCCTCTCTCTCTCTTCTTTGATGTTTTGTTGATTCTAAAATGAAGCAGTGCCATTTTAAAGTACCACCACTGTATATTCACATCATCCCACAGAAACCTACTTCCAAACTCTAATGGACTCCATGTCTTTGCACTTACATTACTGAACAATTTAATTAAACAGCATAATTAAAGCATAGGAGTGGGCTGGGGTTTTGGCTCAGTAGTAGAGTATGTGTAAGGTACTGGGTTCAGTTCTCAGCACCGAATATAAATAAATAAAATAAAGGTCTATTGACAACTAAAAATAAAAATAAAGCATAGAGGTCAAACTCCAAAGAATTTTAAATATTTATACCTAGTGAATTGTAATACTCCTAAAAGAAATTTCTTTTTTTTTTTTTTTTTAAAGAGAGAGTGAGAGAGGGAGACAGCGAGAGAGAAAGAATTTTTTTTTTTAAATATTTATTTTTCAGTTTTCGGCAGATACAACATCTTTGTTTGTATGTGGTGCTGAGGATTGAACCCGGGCCGCACGCATGCCAGGCGAGCGCGCTACCGCTTGAGCCACATCCCCAGCCCATCTAAAAGAAATTTCCAGCTAAACTTTATTCTGCTACTCCTACTTAGTTCAACGTTTTACATACTAACTGTACATCTAGTTTCTGATTGTCCCACCTGAATCCAACAGTGTTTCTTTAACTCTGTCAAAGCAAACAGTCTTTATGTGCTTTGGCTACTTACAAAAAAATTTCACTGGACAACAGCAGCCAAATAATGGGAATTTACTCAGTGATGAAAGGAATGCTTCTTTGGGGCAAAAAATAAAATGAGCTTTCATTTCACCTGGGCATCCCAATGTGTTTAATATATTCTTTAACCACCAAGACAGAAATAGAAAAAATAAAAGAAGAGCCAGATACCTTGACCTCTAGTTGAAGCTGCCTCTGAAGTTCAGCCACTTCTAAGGTCAACTTGTTTTTCTGTTCCAATAGGTCTTTGACTTCAGATGATGAGTTAGAAGCCTGTGATTAATTGCAAAGATATCCTAATTTAAATGTTCAGTGTTAGGGTCTGTAAACAAGTCAAGATGGCACCTGGCATTTTGCCAGAGGGAATGGTTTGTGAAGTAACGTCATCAAGCCATTAAGTGTGGAGATTCCTTATTGGTTGACTGCTGTATCTAGTTTATGTTAATTAAGATAAGCTGTGTGTAATGTATATATACCCCCCTCCTGTCCTACAATAAATGGCTCCCACTCCTGCTGTATCAATGTACACAAGTTGTTTGTCACCTCCCGGTTATTTTGCCCAGCCAGCTGGACTGCGGCAGTTTAGGATGTTTTAATTCTCTTTTCCCAAAATATAACCAAAGCAGTAACTGATGAAGCATAGCACTAACAATCTAAAGACTCAAATCAAATGTCAACCCCTACAGACTCTTCCCCTGCTTTGCAGGCAGAGTTAATCAGGCTGGCCCCTCAGAACTCCAGTGAACTTTATATCATTTACCACAGTCACAGGAATTATTTCACCAGATTTCTCAACATTAGTTCAATAAGACTAAAACTTATTTGCTTACTAAAATTTATTTCCTAGAAGTGTTCAAAGTATTCTATAGAATATTATAAAATATTAAGTATTAGATTTAGGACAAATAATACTTAAAAGAAACTGCTTTATAAAAATTTCTAAATTCCAGTACATAGAAATCACAAGAAAATCAATAACTAAACCTTGTTACAAAATATAGTTTAGCACCACTGATTCTTGAGAACTATTACCTTAGGAGATTATAAACTTTTGGAGGGTGGAGATCATGTCTTGTGCATTTCTGTGTCTATAGAATCTAACACTTCTCCTACATTTAATAAAAATTTCAATAAGGGATTATTGTAATTCTGGGTCTAATCATGATAGAGTAGCTTATATCAGATTTATTCTCCCTACAAAAACTATGAAAAAAAATATGAAACATATTTGCAAGCATTGAAAACCAACATATTTGCAAGCATTGAAAACCAACCAACATGGGGCTATAATCCTTAATAAGGGAAACACACGAGGTCACACTACATTTACCCTGTACTCTCCCTGACTGTTTTCAAACCATAGCACAGTAAAAATTTTAAAGCTCAAACAACGTCTTTAGGAAACTGTAAATTAAAATAATGAGATACCACTACACACCTATTACAGTGACCAAAATTCAAAATACTGAAAATATCAAATGCTGGCAAGCATGTAGAACAACAGGCATTCTGGTTCATGGTGGGGTGGGAGTGGGGGAGATGCAAAACAATGCAACTATTTTGGAAGATAAACTCTATGTTCCAAGAGTTGCATTCCTTGGTCTTCATCAAAACGAACTGAAAAAAAAAAAAAGCCTGTACGTAGATGTTTACAGTAACTTTATTCACAATTAAAATTTGGAAGCAATCGAGATGTCCTTAGTTGGCGAATGGATAAACTATGGTTCATCAAACAATAGAATATTACTCAATGCTAAGTAGAAATTACCTACCCAGCGGGGATTGTAGCTCATGGTAGAACACTTGCCTAGCATGTGTGAGGGTTTGATCCTCAGCACCATATAAAAATAAATAAACAAAGGTATTGTGTCCATCTACAACTAAAAAAAAAAAAATTTAAAGAAAAAATGAGCTATCTATAAAAAAGACCTAGTAATATATTTAAGTTTTTTCCACATCAAAAAAAGTCAATTTGAAAAGGCTAAATACTATATGATTGCAACTGTATGATATTTGGGAAGACACAACTATAGAGACAGTAAAATGATTGTTGGTTGTAGGAGTTAGGGGAGAGGGAGGATAAAAAAGCACAACACAGAGAGTCCTAGAACAGCGCATCTACTCTGTATGATTCTATAATAGGGATATACATCATTGTTCATTTATCAAAACCAATAGAACATACAACACCAAGAGTGAACCCTAGTATAAACCATGGACTTTGGTAACAATGGGTGTGTCAAGATAGGTCCACTGATTGTAACAGAAGTACCACTCTGAGGAAGAGTGTGTATGGGGAACAGGGGGCAGGAACTTTCCACTCAGTTCTGCTGTAAACCTACGGCTGCTCTAAAAATAAAGCTTATTAATTTAAGGGGTGGGGGAAATCTCTCACTGATGAAGGAACAGAGACTAGAGTTTAGAGATGGTAAACCAAGGAGACTTCAGAATCACGGTGAGGTGAGAACTCCACAGAAGCTCTCAAACCTGCAAGAAAAAGTACTCCTTGGATTCCTAGATTATTCTTAAGCCACACTATGAACAGGACAAGAATCTGAGAGGCCAACAGAGAAGATCTGAAGGAGACAAAGAACTCAACAGAGACTCCACAGACTGCACTAAGCTGGGAGACACTAGGGTTCCAGTTCAGCCACAACAGAGAAGCTATGACAGACATCCAGGCATTCAAGATCCCAAGAAAGGAAGATGAGTTGTCCTGTAGGACTAAGGGCAAAAACTCAATTGACCACCCCAACAATGCTCAAAGCAACTGAGCATACAGAATGAAGAAGAAAACTCAGGGTTCTTCAGGGGAGATGATACAATCCAAAACATCAATAATGTCATCCAGCCAGGCGCAGTGGCACATGTCTGTCATCCCAGAGGCTGGGGAGGCTGAGACTAGAGGATGGCGAGTTCAAAGCCAGCCTCAGCAACGGTGAGGCACCAAGCAACTCAGTGAGACCCTATCTCACAATAAAATTCAAAATAGGGCTGGGGATGTGGCTCAGTGGTCAAGTGCCCCTGAGTTCAATCCTTGGTACCAAAATAATAATGATGATGATGATGATGATGATGATGTCATCCACTTTATTTTATTTAAATAAATAAAATCCTAGAACTGACAACTTAAAAGAATAAGACTTAAAAGATAACTAACATAACCAGCAAATAAGATTAATTAAATTGAAAGGTCAACAGACAGTATCCAAATTTTGATGCACCAGAATGGGAGGGGACACACACAATAGAGAACAAGAAATATAAGGATATCATGAAAAGTTGTAACACACATGTCATCAGTATCTCAGAAGAAGTGAGAGAATGTAAAAGAGGCAATATTCAAAAAAATAATAGCCAAAAAGTTTGCAAATGTAATGAATGCCAGCAACCTATCAAGAAGACAGTGAACCTCAAGTAGGAAAGATACAAGAAAAAACATATTCAGATACATTATAGTTAAATTTCTGAAAACTGAAGATAAAATATTCAGAGCAGCCAGAGCGCAAAGAAACATTCAGGAAAATATACAAGAATGACACCTGGCTTCCTGCTGCAGCCCATGGAGGCCAAAAGACAGACAAGTCATTAAAATTATGAAACAAAGCAATGCTTGCCAAACTAGAGTTCCTCAAAAACTCGAGGAAATGGGGCTGGGGTTGTGGCTCAGTGGTAGCGCACTTGCCTAGCATGTGTGAGGCACTGGGTTTGATTCTCAGCACCATGCATAAATAAAATAAATGTCCATCAACAACTAAAAATTTTTTTAAAAATTAAAAAAAACTCGAGGAAATGAAAAATATTATCAGACAAAAAAACACTGAGAGAATTCACTGTCAGCCGAAAAGTACCACAGGATTCAACAGGAAAGTTCTCCAGGTGGGAAGAAAATGGTCTTAGTGGGAACAGAGAGGTACAAAAGGAAGAAGAGAACTTGAAAGGGAACACATCTAAATGAAAGACAGGCAAGACCTCAAAGGTGACAGAACGGCTGGGAGAGGTCTAGGCGCACATAAATGGAAAGACATCATGTTCACGATAAGAGTACCAACAATGTACAGATGTCAGAACCACATTTATCTATACATCAATAGATAATGTAATTCTAATTAAAACCCCTGAAGATTTTTTTTTAATGGAAAACTGATTCTACAGTTTATTTGGAAAGGCAAAAGACCTAGAATAGCCAAGACTATCTTGAAGAATAAAGATGGAAGACAAATACCACTAGATATTGAGGTTTGCTCTAGGAGTTACAATAATTCGATCTGTATGGTATTAGTGCAAGGAGAAATAAGCAGACCAATGGAGCAGAGTGTAAGTGTTAGAAGCTGTAAATACAGGAAAACTGGCATGGGCTGCTGGTGGGTATAAATTATTTCAACTACTTTCTAAATTCAATTGGAAATATTGAAGAACTAAATCTATACCTACTTTATAACCCAGCAATTTTATCCATATATATAGTAAATGTGTTTACCAAAAAAAATAGCTTTATTCCAATGGACAAAAACCAGGAATGTCCACCAAGAATATGCACTATAGTATATTGATACAATGGAAAACTACATATCAATAAAAAATAGTTATTGATAAATACAACATTAATGAATTTCACTGACATCATGTTGAGGAAATAAAGCCAGGAATATGGGAATACATACTTTAATTTTTTAGTTATATGAAGTTCACAAAAGAGAAGACTAATCTAGATGGTAGAAGTCAGAAGATGATTACCTCCAGAGGGAGGAGGTGTAACTGATTGGCAAGTAGCTCAGGAAAACTGGATGATGGCTCTCTTGATCTAAGTGGCATTTGCAGGGATGCAAAAGTATGTTAAAAATTCAGTAAAGTATACAGTTAAGCAATTTACTGAAAGTTATACCCCAAAAAGCAATAGAAAAAAAATATTTGTTGAAGATACATCTGCTGCATGATATTATACCCAAAGCCCATGCCTGGTGTTCCCAGACCCTTTGTGACACGACTTTACTACCCTGGCAATTATTGCTCCATAACTGTCAATGAAACGTTTATCTTTCACTTTCTGCAAATGCCTGTAAGCCAGTAGTAAGTAAATGCACATTGGCTAAAATGGCTTTCTTCTTTTAGATGTTACATTTCCAAAAGGAAAGCAGACATCATGAAGAGGAGCCAGATTAAACAGAATCTACTAGAAAAATATCTCTGATCTGAATGTGAATATTTATGGATCTCATTATCTCATTTTTGTTGTTCTTCTTCCAGGACATGATAAAAGGATGATGCTCTCCAAAGGACTTGGCTAAAATCCTACAGTTAAGCAGTTAGAAAACTTCAAATAGGTGAGGGAAAGAGATAAAAGCAGGAATCAAAGCTGTAAAAAGCAGTTTTGGCTTGTGTTTCCCTGAATCCAGGTGTGAGACGAGTGTGATGAACCTGGAGGAGGTCCTCCCACCTACTCCCAAGAAGGGGACCAGAACCTAACGCAAAACACAGGACTTCAATTTCCTCAGTGAAATGAAAGCAATCCAATCCAATGGGGAAATCATAAGTTGTTCCTTCCTAAACAAAAACCCCACCTGCTTTGCCATTTCTCAATATGATCTCAGTCTAAGGAAGAGGGCTTTTACATTCTCTCCTAAGGAAATACTTAACATACACCAAAAATAAACTTCACAACCTTTGACAGCCAATAGTCAGATTCAGAACATACAGATGGAAGCAGAGAAGACAACGGTGGGCAATTAAAGTCATGGCACTGTGATCGCAGCCAGAGTCCCGAGAGCCTTAATTTTATCTTCCCTTCACCTCTCACTTGACTCAGCAGCAACTTCTTAATTTGTCACCCTGCCTCTAATTTTACCTCTCTCCAAAAGCTACAAAAGGAATGAACTTTTATAAATACAATGGTATTCATGATCATTTAAAATCCTTTGAAGGTAGCCCATCCCCTTAAGCTGGGAATAGAAATTTCTAACATGATTTGCAGGACCCCTATCATCTGGCTTTCTCCCCACCCTTCCCGAATCCTGGCTATATGTTCCAGCTACATTAAGTTGCCTCTAGTAACCTAAACATGGCAAACCTATGCCTCTTTGTATTTGTTCATTTCACTCCCTCCACTTAGAATGCCCTGCCTTCCCTTCTTCTGAGAAAGAATTCTATGCTCTTTTGAGAGAACATTAGTGCCATTTTTCCCAGAGGGGCTACCTTGACTTTCCTAGCTAAGGCTGGCTACTTGGAGTCTGTTATTACGAGTAAAGATCATGCAAGTGAACCAAAAGCAAGAATCATGGTGACAATTTTGGATTTTAAAAGTTTTATCAAGAACTATGGAACTGGGGCTGGGGATGTGGCTCAAGCGGTAGCGCGCTCGCCTGGCATGCGTGCGGCCCGGGTTCGATCCTCAGCACCACATACAAACAAAGATGTTGTGTCCGCCGAGAACTAAAAAATAAATATTAAAAATTCTCTCTCTCTCTCTCTCTCTCTCTCTCTCCCTCCCTCCCTCTCTCACTCTATCTTTTAAAAAAAAGAACTATGGAACTAACTTAAAGAACTATGTAGAACTTCTGAAGATTGTATAAAAGGTGTACAATTTTAAGATTCCCTAGTGGAAATTGTGGATGCATATGTATAATACACAGAGCATGGGCTGGGGATGTGGCTCAAGCGGTAGCGCGCTCGCCTGGCATGGGTGCGGCCTGGGTTCGATCCTCAGCACCACATACAAAGATGTTGTGTCCGCCGAAAACTAAAAAATAAATATTAAAATTCTCTCTCTTTTAAAAAAAATTAAAAATAAGAAAAAATACACAGAGCATGGTCACAGGCTAGCTGAGTGCTATGTGAATGCTGAGTGCTATGTGAATGCTGAGCAGAAAAGAGAGTAGGTAACATCTAAAAGTATCCTCTACATAAGTTTCCAAAGTTAAAAAAAAAAAAGTTACAGATAAACTTCATCCTACCTACCTCCAGGTATCACCTCTTTCCCTCCCATGCAGAATTTCTAGAGGGAAAGGGAAGATACACAATAATATTGCGGCCTAACTCAGGAGCTGTAGGATTGAGCTACAAGTCAGGGCACGAGCAGATGGCACATAGTAGATGTTTATCAAATAGAAGATGACTCCCATTTTAACCCCCCCTAAAATCTCCAAGTCTCAACTCAAATTCAGCACAATTAAACAGGCTGTTTTTAAGAATTAGTTCCCCTCCACTCTTTCCCTTCCTAACACTGGTTGGCTTCACCAGTCTCTAGTCCTTGTTCTGCCTTACGCCTGACCTTCTGGGCTCACGTCCTAGTCCTTTCATGGTTAATTCACCAAAAACAATGTGTGAGATCTCCACTGGTTATAGCATTACATTATTTTTTTCTTATTCTTAATTTTTCCTTCTAAATTTTGCCACCTTTTTATGTTATCTTGTCATGTTTTGTGCATTTTTAATAAAATATCTTTAAAACATTTCTTTAAAAAAAAAAAAGCAGGTTATAAATTAGGATTACAGGTTAAGTGTCCCTTATCCAAAAACTTGGAAGCAGAAGCATTTTGAAGTTGGAAATTATTTGAATTTTGGAATATTTGCACATATATAATGAGGTAGTTGGGGGATCCAGGTCAAAACACGAAATTTATTTACATTGTGCATATACCTGATGCATATAGCTAGGAGGTAATTTTATACAATGGTTTTAATAACTTTGGGCATGCAATAAAGTTTATGTGTTTGTTACGACTGCTACAACTGTGACTGGACATATGAGGTTTGGTGTGGAATTTTCTACTCATGGTTTCATTTGAACACTCAAAAAGTTTCAGATTTTGGAGCACTTCAGATTTTTAGGTTATATATAAAACGTGGGCTTCTGTTTTAGGTACTGCCGTACTGCTTACCACTGAGGAAAGTTCCCACCTACTGCTATAAATAAATGTAGTGACTGAAAAAAACAGCAAGTTGTTTACCACATTCTATGCTAAATGAACTCTGAAAATACAAAACTTCAACTTACTTGATTATTTCCTTGTGCGCTCCCGGCTGCTCGTGACTTTAAGGTCTGGATTTTCTCAAAAACCAAGTTGACTTTCCTTTTGGTAGCATCCTCATTGTCCGTACTTCTGCAGAAGAGACAGCAGAGAAAACAATGAGGGACTCAAGCACTGGGCTCAGAATATTTCATATGCCATTTGGGACAGAGGTTCCCATTTCCAAACGTGAGAAAAACACCTGCACCTTCTAAAATTATATTTTGGAGAAAATACCCAGTGAAAATGTAGTCATTTGTTGTTTGATTCAAACGACTTGAATTCATTCCAAAAGGAATTCTCCTTTTCTTTCTTTGTGTGTGTGTGTGATGTTTCCCATACACACACTGTTGTTTAAATCTTACGTTAAGAATAATCTGCAATGATCTTACTTGTTTAGCCCATATTTAAAAAACTGTAAGTCCCATGCCAAGACTGTCCATACAGCAGCCCTTTGTCTTGACTTCACATGTAATAGTCAGATTAAGTTTTATGAACTTCTACCACACCCCTGGCAGTTAAAAGATTTAAAATAAAATTCCTTAAGAAGGTACCTCCCACTAAAGTCTGCCTTACCAGTCTGTCAATATTATCAAGTGCCAAAGGAAAAAAGAATTTAAAGAATTTTAAAAGTCAAAGGTTCTTCTGCCTTAATCTTAACATGGAAAACCCTTTACAAGGAAATAACAACTAGCTCTCAGCTAGAAGAATCTCTTTGGTTACTTCCCTCCCCAGCCCTCCCCCCAAAAAAAAGAGTTACCATGTTGTACTTTGAAGCTATTTTGCCAGCTCCAGCATGTAGACAAATATTGTAAAGCACACATACAAAATTATCAAGGGTTCAGATACCAATGAAAGTGGTCAGTGGTTGACTTTCAGTTGCCTCAGACTTTTATAAAACTATTTCTTTCCTCCTCTTTGTATCATGTGATGAGGGAACTGAAATAGAAACTTCCAAATTCCTTGCTGAGAATTACAGTACAGCTAGTATCTGAGTAAAGACTGAAAACCAGATTCTTCCAACTCAATCTCCAAGTTGAGTACAGAAAGCACTGCTTTTAAATGACTCATGTGCTTCAAAACTAATGGAAGCAGGGGCTCCTGGCCAATGTTAACTCTGGGGAGAGATGAAGGTTTTATTTGTAACTTCTAATAAGGGACAATTGGGGACTACCGTGTGCGTGGAAGAAGTCAAGGTGCTGGCAGACTCAACTCAAAACTGAACACTGGACCTTCTCCTATCCTTGAATAAAGGATCATTTAAAAAATATGTTCTTCCCTGCACTCCCCTATCCAGGACCCTACAAATTTAAGCTTTCCACACAAGCTTGAATGCCAATATGAAAACTCCTGCCATTGAGAATTAACCCTCAAATGACAAGCACAGACTAGGAAGGGAGGATAAGATACAAAGCTTCAAAAAAAGAAAATGAAGAGCCCAGTCAGAAACAATAATACTTTGGTCTTTAAGAGAAATCACTAACCCTTCTTTGAGGTAATTATAAAGTATCTGCTTGGCGGTCTCCTCGTTGGTTTGTTGAGTGAGCTCCTGCTGGCCCTTCAGGAGATCTGGTGTGGCCTAGAACACAACATCTGTTATTAGACCATGAGGATGATATTTCCAGGAAGATGCCCACACCCTCAAGCAGTGGCTTCCAAACACATTCCTACTTCCCAAAAACAAATCCTCAGGTAAGCTTCCTCATTATAGTCAGTTCCAAGGCTGATTAGCTCTGTAACCTTGGGCAAGTTTACTTAGCTCTTCCTCCCTCCAATTTTCTCACCTGTAAATTAGGGTAAATAATACCTACCTTCATAAGGCTGGTGCAGTCCTATAATATATTCAAATAGTGCTTGGCACTTACCAACTTTATTATCAATATCATTATATTTTGTGGTTACTTACCAAAACACTAAATGTACCACTTAGATTCCATCACTTTGCAATTATAAATTAGGATTAACTTTATTTCTCTGACTAGAAATTAACCTAGTCACTCAACTTCATGAAATAAAAACATACCTAGACAAACCTAAACACTGACTCTGTGGAAACTAATTTTGCATATTTCCAGATTTTTATACAAAGAAACTGATCCTCTCTATAGTGTTTGACAAGTTACTTTGCAGAAAGACCACAATGGGAATCTAATAGTGCTCAAAATATCCTAGAAAAAAAAAAAAAACTATGCAGTTGTCAGTAGGACATAATCTAATCCTAAGAAAATCAGATGTGCAATTATTGATTCAAGATTATAGATAGGAATATATATGTGTATTTTTCACACACACACACACACACACACACACACACCCTTAGAGCCTCCTGTAGCCTGAGTTCATCATTTTAGAAGAAAAACACAGGACTCACACCAGTGTTACCTGAGTGTTTGAGCTGGAAGAAAACGTCTTCACAGAAATTTTCTTGGCACCAGAATCGGGTGAGGTTGGCACCACCCGGTTCTGTAACATCAAGGTAGCAGTGGCTGTTTTTATTTCTTCTTCCTTTTTACTCTGTGCGGGAAGGGAGGACACAGGAATCACCATGCTTTCCGGACTTCCTTTGTTTTCAGCCACTTTCCCATCTTTGTTCTGCTGAGGCCTGGGGAGGGCGCTCTGAGCGCCCCGAGTGGCTCCCTGCAGTTTGGCAAAGGTGCGGCCCACACTTTGCTTCCCTCGGTGTTCTTGAGACGCCGGCCTCTGCGGGCACACCTGGGAGGGACGGAGGAGGTGTTCGCTAGACTTGCCCAAGTTCCTACTAAATTCGGTTAGGTACTCCGAGTTCCCCTGAAGACCAAAAGGAAAGGCACTATCCACGCTGCGGGATCTTTTCCTGTCATCTGGGTTGATTCTGTTTCGTTTTCCAGATCTTCCTCTTCTCTGAAGCCCAGGTTTTTGATCAAACTTTTCAATTAACTGATCCACACCAGGAATTGATCCCGTATCAATATCCCGCCCAGTTCCTGGCAAGAAGGGGATGTACCTTCTGTTTTCATGACGATTGACGTTGTCAGCATGGATGGCACATTCCTGATCATCAAGTAAAAATCTGTACAAGGAGGTGGCTGAAGTGGGAGTCGTGGATGACGAGGACGACCTCCGTGACCGACCTCCATCCAGGACCGGTCCCGCTGAATCTTGTCGACGGAAGGGAAGAACATCTGGCCTGGTTTTCTTGGTTTCGGGGTGGGCATGTGGGCTGTGGGCAGCTAGGGACCTCTCACTAGGGGAAACAGCCTCCTCTCCCACCCTCTCCTTGGTGCAGCTCTGAACATTCACGCACACTGAGGTCTGCTTTTTGGGGTCTTCAATGACCACAGAGCTGCACAGACGAATGGCTGTCACATTGGATTCCAAGGGAGGGCTGGAAGGCTGGGAACTGCCAGGTTTGGGAAAGTAAGTCCAAGCCTTCTTATTATTGGTACCTTCTTCTGTTAAATTTTTTAGCCAATTACTTTCAGGAGGTTGGTGATTTGGTAAGTTCAGCTCATTCTTTTCAGGGTCATAGGGCTGCAGAAGCTCCGGATGCCTCTGAAAGTTCAGCACGTGGGATGGCTTCATGGGCCCATCTTTGTGTTCTAGAACTCCATTCTTGCCCTCATGGAAAGGGGGCTGTTTCAGGTTTCTTACTGGGCTGGGTTGGGCATATGGGTTTTCTGGGAGCTGTAATTCTTCTCCGCTGTTCTCCTTTAGCACAGACCCATTGCTAGAATGGGGGGGCAGGTGATTTATCAGTGGAGGTGGAAATGATGGCCCATTTTCAGGAAAGGATGTGCCAGCAAGACACCTCTCTGTGTTGTTCAGAACTATGTAGGGATGGCCGTCGATTCCCTGGACCCTAATACTGACCCCATAGGAGCCTGCCTTGGAGTGCTGGGAATTTCTTGACTTTTTGGTCTCATCACTTGCAAGCCGTAGGTGGACGCCATATTCCTGCTGCACATGTTGGTATTCACCGAAATACAGCTCCATGCTTCACTGTCCCAGCTACCGGGGCAAGATGGGGTAAAAAGAGGACATTAAGTGAGAATTACATCTGTTTAAATGAAGGTTGGACTAATCATGAGGGAGAAACTTCAAAGTTCAAAGGAAAACAAGACACTTCACAACCAAAGCATGAGTGGCTGCCCTCCCCTGACCCTGACCTGTTCAAACAGGCCTTTCTGGATGCCCTTGAGCCCACATGATCTGAGGCTTGTCAACACTGGGCCTGGCAGAGGGCAGTCACAGGTGTAATGACCTAATGCCTCTGGCATAACTTCACTCTCCTGTTTCTGGCTTAGAGGCTATTCTGGTTGCTTTTTTCCCCCCTCAGTTGGTTTTCTCACACTTTATGCTATTTATTTTTAACCAAGAAGGTGTTCCAGCATTTGCCAACAAGGTATTTTTCCATGAAAGTGCGTAAATGCTAAGGAGTTCTGATGCTCCGTAATTTTCTTTCTTTTTTCTTTTTTTACATTGTTAATTTTCCTCTCACTTTTAAACATTTTTTATGCACAATCCCACTTTAAAATCTTCAAAACTATTTGAATGTACTATTTAAAACATTTTTACCCAAAGCAGTCAGTTATTTGTGAAACTATCAGTAAATGATTTGAAAGTTTTCTCAAGCTGTTCTTTTTCTTCCCAAAACAGTTCAAGAAGCATATCAATCTGAAAACCGTTATTTTTTTTTTTAAATGACAATTCAGGGCTTTGAATTTTGTGATGGATGCCAAAAATCATTGCCTTCACTTTCCGGAGTGTGACCACCCTTGTCAGATGCCTGCCGACAGTTCACCAAGCAGGACGCACACCCCGCCCATGCTCAGAGGTGTTCCCAGCAGAAACTCACTTCTCTGAAAAACCATAGCAGCAAAGAATAATAATGGGGATAATAGCTGTCTCATTTGTCACTTGTAGGGCTCTTTTGAGTTTTCTTTCTAATTTGGAGTCAATCTGATAGATGACTGTCTTCCTCTAGTCTATCCACATTTTGAAGTTTATTATACAGAGCTTTGTAAAAGATAAATAATTTCACTTCCCCTGTATTTTTCATTATCTAATATTATTTGTGCTTTCTTCTATTTGATTACACTGATATGTATTTTTTTAAATTGTTCCTCTAAAGAATTACTTATATTTATCAAACATTTCTGTTAGTTTTCTAATTTATCGAGCTCTAGTTTGATTTTTATTGCAGTAGCCCTGCCCCCCTTATTTAAAAACCTCAGCAAATGCCAAAAACTGTGAAAAGTATTGAACCCTATATATATAGGTATTGTTCCTATACATACACACCTATGATAAAGCTTAATTTATAAATTAGGCACATTAAGAGGTCAACAGAAACATAGAATAATTATACTACAATAAGTTATGTGCATATGGTCTCTCAAAATATCTTTTACCTTTTCACAATATCTTTTACCTTTTCACTTAAAGAAAGCACTTTGTAGCTTCTCTTTGCCATATCCAAAGCACCAGCATCACTATTTTTTCACTTTGGGATCATTATCAAATAAAATAAGGGTTACACACACACAAGCACTGGAATACCACAACAGACAGTGTGATAACCTAGATGGTTTCTAAGTGAGTACTGGATGGGTAGCATATACAGCATGGACACACTGCACAAAGGGATGATTCACACCTTAGGCAGGATGATGTGAAAATTTGTCATGCTACTCAAAACCAGCATGTGAATTTAAAACTTGAGAGTTATTTCTGGAATTTTAATATTTACAGAACAAAGTTCATTGCAAGTAACTGAAACCATAGCTAAGGAGGGACTATAGTATTTCCTTCTGCTTTCTTCCATTTTATTTTGTTGTTCTATTTCTAACTTCTTGACATGAATACTTAATTTGTTTATTTTTGTTCTTTAATCACAATGTATAATTGTCACTTAGGAATTACTGGGGCTACTATTAACAAAGAGACCCCAAATAGCAGCCTAAGACGTCAAAAATTTTCCCCCAGATGTAGGAAGTTCAGGACTGGTATGGACTGCAAGGTTTCATGGAGAATACTTCTTATCTTTCCACTCCTCTACCTCTGGCAAGTACTAGACAACAAGGTAGCTGATCCAGTATCACATACGCCAAACACTTCAAAGCAAGATTGTGCCGTCAAACATCTTTTTAAGTTTTCCTGGAAGCCCACCTACCAATAATCTCTTTTTTTTTTTTTAAGAGAGAGGAGAGAGGAGAGAGGAGAGAGGAGAGAGAGAGAGAGAGAGAGAGAGAGAATTTTTTTTTAATATTTATATATTTTAGTTTTTGGCGGACACAACATCTTTGTTTGTATGTGGTGCTGAGGATCGAACCCGGACCGCACGCATGCCAGGTGAGCGCTACCGCTTGAGCCACATCCCCAGCCCCCCAATAATCTCTTAAATCTTTTTTGGTGAGAACTTAATCAAATGGCCACCTGCAGCAGGAGGTGGTGTGGAAAACAGGGTCTTGTAGCTGGTCATTGACACTCTGAACATTAGTAAAATGAGAGAGGAATGGACATAGGGAAGGCAGGCAATAGTTTCTACCATAGTAATGTTTCTATGGCTATGTTCTAGATAGTTTCCATTTGTGGTTTTAATTCCTTCTTTGACCCAAGAATTGATTTTAAGAAAGTTTTTTTTGTTTTGTTTTGTTTTAATATCCAATATTTCATTGTGTTGTTTACAGGGTCTTTATTTCTTGATGGTATTAAGTTCTACTTGAATTGTAGTCAAAAAATAAAGCCTCTTATTATTTATTTCCTCTTAAAGTTGAGATTTCTTTTGTGGGCAAATATGTAGTAGATAATATTTGTTAAAGCTTTATGGAGGGCTGGGGATGTGGCTCAAGCGGTAGCGCGCTCGCCTGGCATGCGTGCGGCCCGGGTTCGATCCTCAGCACCACATACAAACAAAGATGTTGTGTCTGCTGAAAACTAAAAAATAAATATTAAAAGAATTCATTCTCTCTCTCTCTCTCTCTCTCTAAAAAAAAAAAAAACTTCATGGATGCCAGGTGTAGCCTGTACTTTAAGGTATGGCATTCAAAAATATACCCACTAGTGCAAACTTAACACTAATTAGTTCAGCAATAGCATACCCTTATTTTTGTATGACTCGTTATGGGACTTTCTGGATACATTCAGTCTCCAATTATTAGCATGATGCTGTTGGTTTTTGCTCAGTGATTATTTTTTAAATGTAATATTAGATATCTCTCAATATGCCAATGAAGACAACTCAAAGAGTCACATTTATTGTGATGTTTATCACTGTCTCAACAACTCTATAATTATTTCATTATGCCTCCTTTCATTTTCAGTTATACTAATATTTTTAAATTTTTAATCAGAGTCAAAAAAGATGTAATGAAAACCAATATTTTCTAGCTTCCCCAATCCCAAACACATTTCCCAGGGGAAAGCAACTGGAAATTTTACTGTTTCTTCTAGTACTTACCCTCCTTGTTGCTAAATAATATTCCTAGCTGAGACTTCTCCACTTATCAGTTTTACATATGGTAGATGACACATCATAAAAATTTCTCATTCTACTAACCTCCCAACACCATCTGTTTTGTTCCACTTCTTAAGAGATACATCCTCAATGCTTTTTCCAAATTAAAGCAATTTTCAATGGCTCTTAATTGTTCTCTAATCGTTTCTCTTTCATTAACGCTGTTCTTATTTTCTGTATGAAATAGCTTTTCTTTCTCTGAAAATAACTTTTCTCAAGACATGTTTTCCTCTGCTTTCTTCAACATCATTTTCTGAGAAGATTTTCTTTTCTGGTTTGTTTTAATTATCTGTCTTTCATATTCTTAATATAACTGGTGGTTTTGGGCTGCCTGATCCTAAATGAGGGTCCAAAGCAGACTGGAGGTGCGTGTGTGTGTATTTGTGTGTGTGTGTGTGTGTGTGTGTGTGTGTAGGACATATTAGCTTGTGAGCCTCAATTAGTGGGGGGGAGGGGTAGACCTTCTATGCAGGAATCCTCAAATTTCAGTATCTAGGGACATGTTTTTCTGTAGTAGTTCAACTTTCCCTGAAAAGAATTCTCCAATACATTGCAGGGCTGTCCATGCCTGGCTGCTGGCAATGTGAGACAGGGCACAAGACAACTGGAGGTCCCCGTGGGTATCAGTCTCATCAGTCACTCACACCCCTTCACTATTATTCCAGTGTCCATCTCTCTGATGCTGGGGTAGGGGAGAGGGGCAGGGATGGACAGGTGCCCCATATCCAGGGTCTAGAGACGATTCTGGAGGTCTAACAACTCCTGTTCTCAAAGTTCTTAACTAATTCCCCAGACTGTGGCCCATCTCCCCAGTCTTCTCCAGGAGCTGATGCTCTCCATGTCTGAGACTCCCAGCAGCTCTGAAGGCAAATAACCTCACTGCCACAGCACAGGCACATTAGGTTGAAGCATCTCTCACTCTGCCAAGTCAATTATCACACCTCCATTTGCTGCCAGGCTCTCCTCCACGGCCATCTTTACCTTCTGTGTTCTTTCACTATCACTTTAGTAGGATTTTGAAAAGAAGATCAACTTTTAAACTTACCTAGCCCCCACATGGCTAACTAATATGGTAAAACTCAAGCTGGGGATGCAGCTCAGTGGCAGAGCACGTGCCAAGTATGCATAACACCCTGGGTTCAATCCCCAACACCAAAAAGAAAAAGAAAAAGGAATACATATACACATGGTAAAATATCTCAATTCCAAGGATATATACAGACTGATGAAGCAAGTACAACCTCCAAGACCGAAATGACCACTGTGTCTTGACCCCTTTCTGGAGGGCAGCATTGGCATGTTTCATTTGGGGTATTTAGAAGTCTAGAAGTATTCATATTTATTAAAGTTTATAATAACTTGGGGGGGTACTGGACCTCAAACATGCTAAGTAAGCACTCTACCACTGAACTCCACACTCAACTATAAAACTTTTTTTTAAAGAGTTTCTGCACAAATTTATCTATGAGGATGCTTTTCTCAGGTGGTATTT